AGCACCTCAACACAAGCTGCTAGCTGTGGAGCTCTGCTTATCAGCAAGCCTGCCTTCCTACCAAAGATTGCTACCAACTGGGAGAGTCTCCAGGATCGAGGGGTTGGTGATCACTGGTTTAAGCCATCTTTGTGCTCCTTGTGTTGTGGGGCTGTGGACGGGGTGCCCTGGCATAGGTTAGTGTGACCTCCGGGTTGCTCTAACTTAAAGTCCGCTTCCCATGGTCTCCTCTGGCCATGCCTCCAGTCTGGCCCCTTGTGAGGCTTGGGTAGTGGAGAACAGCCACAATGCCATGTGTTCTGGTCATGCCCCGAACCACCCCTCTATGAGGGAGCTGAGCCATTATGCACCTTGCACGGGGCCACAGTCTCAGAGGGCCATTTCTGCCCCACGTTAAGGGTACTTTACTGTGCCAGGGCAACTAAGAGTGGTGCAAATGTAAGAAGAACTAGGCCCATTGGCTGAAGCAATGCCTGGTGATCCGGGTGCTTTGGGAGAACACAGCCACCACCCTGGCTTGTGTGACAGAGGAAGCTCCAAAGGGTCTGTCCTTCCTTCACAGGAGCTGAGACTGGAAACAAGCCAGCTGCAGGAGCAGCTGAGCCAAACCTACGAAGATCTGGCCATGTAAGTGCTTCTGAGCAGCCCCTCATAGATATGCAGCCCTGTTCATCATCTGTGCACCAGCCAGGCTGGCACAGAGGGCAAGGAGAAAGTGTCAGAAACCAGGGTGTGAGCGGTCATGCCTAAAGGTTAGAGCCGGAGCCCATAGCTAGGAATAGGTCAAGGCCAAAGCCAGAAAGTGGCACTGAGGTCACAGCTGGTTATCTGGTTTGAGGTGAAGTAGGAGTAGGGCTGGGTTCAAGGCCAGGGACAAGCAAGAGCTATCACTGAGTTCCATGAAGCTACCAGAGCATAGACATTACCGAGAGCAGCCCTTAGAAGGCACCTTCAGCCCCTGAAGAAGGAAGGCAGCAGCTGCACTGGTAAATCCAGCTAAGAGAGTTCCGCAGCATACACTCTGAGGTCAAAAGCCTGTAGCTTCCTGCTCAGAGTGCTGGGCATTTCTGGGCTGCAGTTCATGCACAGCTGCATGCCACTGGCTCTCCAAAAGGAGCTTCCTAGGGTGCCCTCTAGCTATGCCTCCACTCTGCCCCTGTGGGGCTTGGGTGCCTGGTGAACACTGTATGTACTGTATGGGAATTGCCAGGCCAAACCAGCCCTATCCCCTGACTCCTCCCGCAGCCAGCTGCTTCCCAGGGAAGAAGGGACAGTCCTGGAATAACCTGCTCAGAAGGGACCTTCGGGCAGATGAAGTCGTGGTTTGTTCCCTGAGCTATGAACTAGCCTGTCTAATCTCTCGGTGTCTGTCTAATGAGGGCAGACACACCCATGCACTCTGTGGCATGGGTTAGCTCTCTCCAGAGCCAATGGCTGGAAGCTGAATCCAGACAAATTCAGACTAGAAATGAGAGACAAATCTTAACAGAGTGCAACAAACCACTGGAACAACACACCTCGGGGACAGGCAGCTCTCTCCACTGGTCTTTAATCAAGACAGTGTCTCTTCGTGAAAGACCTGCCCTAGCGCAGCCAGGAGTGAAGGATTCAATTCAGGAATCCCTTCTTGTGTGTTCTGAGTGATGATGAGATGATCCGGCAGACCTGTGCCTGGTGCCAATGTCCTCATTTTAAAAAGGATGTTGCAAAGTTGGAGAGGGTGCAGAGAAGAGCTGCAGAAATGATTCACAGGCTGAAAAAATAATGCCTTGCAGCGAGAGACACAAGGAGCTCAGTCTGTTTAATGGATCCCAAAAGAAGGGGGAGAGATGGCTTGATTAGTGTCTGGGGAGAAAATCCTGGGTAGTAAAGGCCCTCTAATCTCGTGGAGAAAGGCAGAACAAGAGCCAGACGAACAGACTTAGATTAGATAAGTGGCAAAATGACACAGGAGTTGTAACTAGGATCTTGTCCTGTCATGCTCCATACCAGAGCTCTGTTTATAAAGGGGAATCAGCGATCAGTACATCAGTACACAAGGTGTTATGGACAGTCCTACGGCACTTCTTGGGCTATTGGGCTAGTCATTCATTAAAACTTCAACACGTCCTTTTTATATGGAACTGCAAGCGCACTGGGACTGCTTTTACAATTTGTGGGTGAGGGGTCTGGGCACTGGTCATTATTTGGCAGGGGTGTGGGAAAGGTGGGAGGAGGAGAGAGAGAATCTGACATACAGGAAGGGGAGCTCTTGCTGCTCTCACAGGGTGGGATGCTGACCCCAAAAAACCAGCAAGAGTTGCCAACTTTCCAGGATTGTCCTGGAATCTCCCGAAACTGAAGGTTAATCTTTAATTAAAGATTATGTCATGTGATGAAACTTTCAGGAATGTGCTCAGCCACAGCAGGCAGCCCTATCTCCAGCAGCACCTGGGGACAGCCAGCCCTGAGACCTGGCATTTCCCAACTAGCCCATCCCTGCTCCTTAGGGTGGGGCAGCATTGTTCACAGGAGCTTCTTCCCCAGAGCTACTTTGAAACTCAGCTTCCCTCCCTGTTAAACCTCAGGGTAGCTGTGTAATGTGAGCTCCCTGTTTTGCCTCTGTGGCCTCCACTCAGACCCCAGTGCGTGAGATGAAACTGAGTCACATGGTACATGTGTGTCAGAGACACATGTCCACTAAGGGCCAGCCCGGGGACAGAACAAATTTCACCAGGACTGCATCTGCTCAGAAACGGCTCTGGTCCAAAAGCTGCATGCAGAAACACTCTCCTCTCTTTCCATCCTGAGACTCATGATGGTCGGGCTCAGGCTGGCCTGTCTGGTAACTCAGTAAAAGCGCTGCAGGCACTCCACACCCTGCAGAGGTGAGATGTGCGGTTTGAGCAAGGTTTCTTCCTGCCTTGTGCTCAGGAGGAAGCTCTGGGGCTAGGAGGCCACATGAAGAAATGTTGGGGGTGGGGTGTCAGTTCAGTTTGCTTAGCAGCCCTTCCACATTGGGGGTGGGATCCTTCCAGACCCAGAAGAATCAGGTTTCTGAGCTCTTCTCTGTCCCTACTGCCGTTGCATCAACAATAATAAAGGCTCAGAGTTAGGAAGGACTGTGGCTACGGTATTGAACTCGAAATCTGGCTTAGTTCCCAGCTCTGCCAAAATTACCTTTAATCTCTCTCTGCCACAGTTTCCCCATCAAAAGATAATAATCCTTCTCTTGGCAGTTTAGATCAGTGTTTCTCAACCAGTGGTATGAGTACCCTTAGGGGTACTCAAGAGAAATCTGGGGGGGTACATCGACACAACTGAAATTTGTTTTAAGTTTTATTATTTTTGTCCTTTTTACACCCACTCAGCTACAATTAAATTGTTTAAACAAATGTGTTGCAATAGTAGAAAAAAATGTTGTGCGTCTGAAAACTGTAGGTACCTGGGGTACTTATAATTTTTTTAAAAGGGGTACTTTATAAAAAAAAAGGTTGAGAAACACTGGTTTAGACAACTCCTGCTGTGCATAGATATAGCATCCACAACATGGGGGACCCTGATCTAGTTCAGTGCGGCACTGGTGCTGCTGCCACACTGCTTAAGAACACTTGAATGAGTTTTCCCCATCTTTGCTCACCTCAGGCTCATTTTTAATGACGCAAACTGCTCTCATATGACAGCTGTCAGTGATGGAAAAGTCACTTCCAGCCCATCTGCAATGCAGGGGAGTGGCACTTGGCTTATCACAATGTTCATACAGCATCCCAGGCACCATGTGGTAGTGTTCAATCCATTGCAGATAGCTAGCAAAAAGAACTTGGCCGTCTGTGGCAGATCTGCCAGAGGTTGTGTGTTCCCAGCTCTGTTCCTGCTTCCCCAAATCAAGCAATTCCCACCCTCGCTATGCCCAGTGCTATACAAACACTGAACATAACGATCCTCCCAGCCCTGCAATTTTGAATTCAGAGCTGATTGCAAGGAATTTAATTGGCCTTAACTGTAATTAAACCACCCAGATTTCAAATGGTAAAGGTTAAAAAATAACCAAGAGCTCCGGAAGAGCTTTAAACTTGCCTGAGTGTGGCCAGGAGCTGACCTCTTCGAACTCCTGGGGACAAGACTGTGAAACTCATAGCCACATGAATCTGCTGGGGCCAAGAATTTACTACAATTCAGAGAGAGGTTGGCTATTCATATGGAAAGCCAGGATATCCCAGAGGTTAAACGACTTAATGCTGAGGTCTGAAAAGGAAAGAGACCTGACTCTGTTTATACAGGCTGCTGAAGGAGGTGCCCCACGAGCTTAAACCCCACTGTCAGCTTCCTGCACAGCCACTCTGCGTGGAGATAGAAGAAATCCAGCAGGTAGGGGGAAGGGAAGCTTGACCTGGCAAGCCCAATTAGACTTGTGCTTTGATCCTGTGGCAGAATTCACAAATCTGGCCAGGTTACGCCTGCTCTGTCCCAGAAGGGAGGCCTCACAGGAACTGTGTCATCAGAAGCAGGCTGGTCCCCAGGCGCTAACAGACTGAGGGGAATTAACTGCTGGAATGGCTGTGATTGATTGGCTGTTTTTCTGAAAACAAGGCATCACTTTTGGCCTTAGAAACTATGAATCAAGGCTGCTCACTTGCTTACTGGTACAACTACCATGGAAATATCTCCCCCAAAGTAGTTTTTCACATCCCTTCTAGCCTCTGTGCAATGTCACTTGGGCTGTTCCCTCGGACCTGGACAGCACCACCACTTCCTCCCAAAGACAGGGAACTCCCCACTCCAGCATCAGCAGTCCTAGAGCGTCTGTGGGGCAGGGCTGATACATGGAACCACAGACGGATTGTATTAGAAACACCCCAAGGAGCTCTGAGCTGGGAGGAAACAGTCCGGGATTCAGGATTGAAACGATAGGGAATAACCATGCAGGGCACTGTCATCTACAGTTTTCACAGTGCTTAATAAAGTGTAAAGCAGGGTCCTCATATGCAGTATGCCCGGGGGTAAACTGAGGCACGGAGCAGTTTCATTCCTGGTTTTCATAGGCAGCCAGTTATTTTGGGTGCCTCAGCCAGTTTGAAGCACAAAACACCTCAGTTTTAGAAGCCACATGGGCTAGGCAGAGCAGGACTTTGCTGCAGACTCCCTGGGCTCTGCTAGGACTTGGCCTGTTGCCAGGAACAGTTCACATGAGGATAAATCACTGTTGCATGTGTACTGCCCCTTGCCCTGTTCTCCCTGCAGGGAGGAAAAGTGGAGGCCAGTCTGCCCAGCCCACTGTGTGGGGTGTTGCCAGCCTCAGGAGGTCCTGCGCTGGTGCAGCTGCTTGTGGGGAGGAGCCCAGTGGCTGTCAGGGCTGGAGCAGAGGAGCAGGTGAGAGTGGGAGCCATGGATGGAGAGGGAAACAGTATTCAAGCTCTCACCAGCTGGAGCCCTGCCCCTTTACTTGACCCTGAGAGCTGCCATGCCCTGGCCAGATGCTGGGCTAAATACTCAGATTAGTGAAATCTTGCCTAGTTGAACACAGCACTGGGCACTAGCTGGGAAGGAAATGTTCATGAAAATGCCAGCTAAGGCCTCAGGATGTGATGGCGTGTCTGTGCGCTCCCTTATTTGCAATGCTCTCAGGAGCTGCAGGGGCGCTCTCCCCTCAGTGCCACGCCAGGCATTGGGTGTGGGGCAGGGACTTGGTGGGAGGCATGCTTCATTTGCAAGGGGGACTAAACACTCATGGTGGCTCCATTTCCATGAGTAAGAAGAGTCTAGAGGTTAGGAGGGTGAGGCCTGGGCATCAGGACTCCTGAGGCCTATAGTGCCTGTGGTGGAAGGGAATGTGGTCCAGGGAGATAGCGCCAGGATATTTTGTTCCCGAGTCCCAGAGACAGTGAGGGCTGGCAGTTACAGCAGGAGAGAGTGAACACGTGTCAGGACTCCTGGGTTCTATTCCAGCCTCTGCCCCTCATTCAAAGCATGAGCGTGGTACGAATCGTCTCTCATGGGTGGCTTGAAAGGGAGCCAGTCACACTCATGTGGGAACTCCTGGGCTTAGCTTCCCCAGGAAGTGCTCTAGGAACTTGGGGCAACAGCCACCAGATGCTTGCCTTAACCAGCAGTTGGTCACACTGACTGATGGGACTTGTTTCTACAGGCGGTGAGCATGGTCGACTGTACCCCTGCATGGCTGGCTCAGCAGAGCCCCACCGGGGAAGGTGAAGCCCTGGCTGAACAGCAGCAGCGACTGATGCCAGAAAGGTACAAACAGTAGGAGGGATGTGGAAGCTGCTTTCTACCCCAGTTCCATTCTGCCGGCTCTTCCCTGAGTTCCATCGGGTACTGCCTGGAGCTTGCCCTGCAAGGCTGTCAAACCACAGGAGGCCTGGAGTCCTTCATGGAGAGGAAGCCCAAGACTGACCATCTACCCAGCCATTTTATAGTCCTGCAGCCTCAGCCAGCTGGCCCGGGCCATCTGTGGGCCTTTTATTGCAGTGTAGACACAATAACTGACATAATTTGCATCTACTTCAGTACCACTGGGTCTAGCCTTGGCCCTGAACCGTTGTCTGAATCATAGAACACTAGAACTGGAAGGGACCATGAGAGGTCACCGAGTCCAGTCCCCTGCCCTCACGGCAGGACCCAATACCATCTAGACCAGTGGTTCTTAACTTTACTGCAGCCTGCACTCCTTTGGTTCTCAAAATACGTTCTCAAAATACGTACTCCTTATTAAAAATCATTGAAGTAAGTCAGTTTTAAACCTAAGATATATTAAAAAAAAATCTGGCATATCTCGCACCCCAGGGGCTGCGTGCACCCCAGGTTAAGAACCACTGATCTAGACCATCCCTCATAGATGTCTATTCAACCTGCTCTTAAATATCTCCACAGATAGAGATTCCACAACCTCCCTAGGCAACTTATTCCAGTGTTTAACCACCCTGACAGGAAGTTTTTCCTACTGTCCAACCTAAACCTTCCTTGCTGCAGTTTAAGCCTATTGCTTCTTGTCCTATCCTCAGAGGCCAAGGAGAACAAGTTTTCTCCCTCCTCCTTGTGACACCCTTTTAGATACCTGAAAACCGCTCTCATGTCCCCTCTCAGTCTTCTCCTTTCCAAACTAAATAAGCCCAATTCTTACAGTCTTCCTTCATAGCTCATGTTCTCTAGACCTTTGATCATTCTTGTTGCTCTTCTCTGGACCTTCTCCAATTTCTCCTCATCTTTCTTGAAATGTGGTATCCAGAATTGGACACAGTACTCCAATTGAGGCCTAATCAGCACAGAGTAGAGCGGAAGAATAACTTCTCGTGTCTTGTTCACAATACTCCTGTTAATACATCCCAGAATCATGTTTGCTTTTCTTGCAGTAGCATCACACTGCTGGCTCATATTTAGCTTGTGGTCCACTATGACCCCTAGATCCCTTTCTGCAGGACTCCTTCCTAGATAGTCACTTCCCATTCTGTGTGTGTGAAACGTATTGTTCCTTCCTAAGTGGAGTACTTTGTGTTTGTCCTTATTAAACTTCACCCTACTTACCTCAGATCATTTCTCAGTTTGTCCAGATCATTTTGAATTATGACCCTATTCTCCAAAGCAGTTGCAACCCTTCCCAGCTTGGTATCATCTGCAAACTTAATAAGCGTCCTCTCTATGCCAATATCTAAATCATTGATGAAGATAGTGAACAGAACTGGTCCCAAAAGAGACCCTTGCAGAACCCCACTTGTTATGCCCTTCCAGCAGGATTGTGAACCATTAATAACTACTCTCTGAGAACGATTATCCAGCCAGTTTTGCACCCACCTTAGAGCAGCCCCATCTAAGTTGTATTTGCCTAGTTTATTGATAAGAAGATCATGCAAGACTGTATCATATCCCTTGCTAAAGTTTAGATATACCACATCTGTCTCATGAAAGTGAGACTGCTGGCACTCACTGGAATCCGGTCCCAACTGAACATTTACCCAAAGGCTTTCCGTCCTGATTTGACACTTCTGCTATCAAAATTCTACTTTAGGCCTGGTTTACGAGCTAGCCCAGGGCTACGTCTAGACTGCAAGCCTCTTTCGAAACAGGATTTTTCACTTTTGAAAAAGCCTCTTTCGAAAAAGAGCGTCTAGACTGCAAGCAGTACTTTCGAAAAAGCAAGCCGCTTTTTCGAAAGAGCACCCAGGCAGCCTGGATGCTCTCTTTTGAAAAAGCCCTGTTTGCATTCAAGAACACCTTTTTTGAAAGAGCACTTTCAAAAAAAGGCGTTCTTCCTCGTGAAATGAGGAGTACCGCCGTCGAAAGAAAAGCTGCGTTTTTTCGATTTAATTTCAAAAGAACGCGGCTGTAGTCTAGACGCAGGTGAAGTTTTTTCGAAAAAAGGCTATTTTCGAAAAAACCCTGCAGTCTAGACATAGCCTAATTGAGACAATAGTTTGCCTCCCTTTTGGCCAACATCAAATTTTAAACTCTGCTCAACTTTTGTGAAAAGCTACTTTGTCCCTCCACAACTAAATTCCTAATAAAAACGAGTAGTCCTGTGGCATCTAAGAGTAACAAAAATATATAGAATCATGAGCTTTCGTGGGTAATACCCACAGTGCTATTGGTTCAGAAGGCCAGTACTCTAAAGAGAAACTTTCACCTTTCCTTGTGGAATGTCTTGGATCTTATATGGATTATTTGGAAACATGGTGAGAAAAGGACATTCCTTGCAATAAAATGTATAGCTTAATTACCTGTTACACTAAGGATAAGAGATCCATCTCCCCATAAATATTTGCAAAAAAAAAAAGTATAAATAATAGGGAAGGCATTTAAATAAACTAAATATTTTAAAATTTGCACCAAAGATCAAATTCTCAAGTTAAAGACAATTCAGTTAATTTTTTATTAGACAAGTAAAAGAGGGAAGCAGGTAGTAGCGGCAAGTAATCAGTCTCTCTCACTTAAAAATGACCCAAGTGCAGGATGGTTCGGACAAAACATTCTGGTTTTAACCCATCTTTAGTTCTGAGTCTTATCCAGCTATTCTTGTCTAGATCTTATTACTGTAAGGGAACTTCCTACTGTTCAAGGTATCAGCATGACTAATAGGAATGTTGGATCCCTTGAACATTGGGAAAGGTGAATTGTTCAGCTTCTGTTCACTGCCTCTTTCTTCCCCACTAGTCTCTCCTTTACCAACTTACCTTCTGGATGCTACCGTAGTTCCTCTCCTGTGCAGAAAAAGTGCATGCTTCAAAGACTATTCTTCCCCCTCCCATACTGATGAATCTGTCTCCACATCACATGCCTTATGTCCCTACGCAAAAATCTCGGCTTCCCTAGAATTTCTCTCGCATTGGAGGAAGGGTATTCTCACAAAGCTAATTTAATTTTAAGATCCTTTATTAAAAGGCCTGGTGGTATAGAGATGTAATTTAAACAGGCTAAATAAGAAGTTATTACATCTAATCAGTAACAAAATACTGATAAGCATTTAATCAAGATACTTAGGGTGAACCCAGGGATGCTTAGACTCATATTGGTTGGCTTCAGTGTGGTCAGGCAGGTATTAGCAATGAATTCTTTAAGGATTTACTTTTTTACGCCTTTTAATAAGAGCTGTCTTTGCCAATTACTGATGCCAGCTAAAAACTAATTTGAGACCGTTCACCCTTATTTCCAGTCTTAGTACAGATAAGTTTTACAACCACCTTTCTCCAAGGCCTTTCCTCCCGTCCTTGCTGATCAACAGTTTTCCCTAGTGCACCTGGATTCACATAGACCCTAATTTTTGAGATAGCATTGGTATGTGGTGTGGGAAGATCCATGTTGGCTCATTTTAAGACTGGGAATCGGTCTTATTTAAAATCATCTGCAGTCACCTCCATCAGTCAGAGGCTTGCTTTTCAGAAACTTCCCTTATTCATTAGTCTTGCTTTGAACCAGCCAGCCTCCCTACTTATAATTCCTTACTTTCAAAGCCTCTCTTTCTTGCTAAATAGGGCCTTTCTTTACACCGCATGTCTTTAACCAAACTTAAACTAAACTTTAATTCTCTGTTGTAATATTCATCCTACATCATGTGAAGGAACAGTAAAGTGTCCTACAGTGAAAAGGCCTTCATTTATGGCCAGTCCTTTGCCACCTGGGTCCAAACCCCAAAAACCACTGATCACTCACTGCTCCTATTGAAATCCCAGGTCTAGCCCTTAATGTTTAAGCACTAACAGTAACACATTTCAGAACTTGTCTCAAACACGAACGCTCTCCTTTCATGTCATGAATAGTGGCTAAACATACATGACCAGTGATCAAATACCTCCTGGTACACCACATGCTTGGGGGTGCCGTGCCATCGGACCCCTCCACTACGGACTGTCACACGTGCGTAGTGGTTTGAGTGTCCAGCAACATGGAGATTTCACTGGTTTATTTTGGGCTTCTGTTCTTTGCATCATAGCAGCAATTCTGACGAAATGCCCCTAAATAACTTGGGCAGATTCCAAATATTAATGCATGCTCTCGTTCCACATAATGTTGCTTGAGTGAATGTTTTTTACTCGTTTTTCTAGATTGCATTCTGTGGGGCAGGGTCTGATTGCATAACCTTCTGCTAGGGAAGTACCAAGCACGTTTTTGGCTGCTGCTATGTTGTGCGTTTTCCTTAACAGGGTTGGATCCAGCTGGCCCTATGTTTGAAGGAGCTGAGCCTCATAAGCGCCTCTCCCCTGATGATGCAGACTTTGTGGATGTTCTTCATACATTTACGAAGGAGACGCTGGGTGTCAGCATTGGGATCCAAATGCCTGTGGGTCACATTGACATCTATCCCAATGGGGGAGATTTTCAACCTGGGTGTGGATTAAGTGATGTTTTGGGAGCAATTGCATATGGGAGTAAGTTCTTATTTTTCCTATTTAATAATTGCCTTTGCTGGGAGGGGTGGACAATAAGAGACACCCACATTACATAAGCAGGTGTATTGGAATAATGCATACAACCTAACGAGGCAATTCTCCATCTGTCTTTAGATTTCCCCCTCCCTCCCTCCCTCCCCAAATCTGTAAATTTTGCAAGTCCGGTTTTAATCATCATCAGCTAAAAGACTAATTTGTACTCCAGACCATATTATATGGGCTCTGAAGTCTTGTTTTCTGTCTCCACAGCTAAATGTGTTTGAACAAAATTGTCAGCTTTAAATATGTTGTAATATCTTGTAGTTTATCTGTTTTTTGTCAGACTTAACTTGTGTTGAATTCCAATTAGTCTCACTAACTCTTGCAGTAAATTGGAGCTCTTGGGATGGTGAATGCTAAATTGCTGAAGTGTGTCTTACCACCACAATCTTTTCTGTTGAGCTAGATATTGGGAATGTTGTTAGATGCGAACATGAGCGATCTGTACACCTCTTCGTGGACTCCCTTGTGAACCAAGATAAGTGAACTGCCAGGGAGGAAGGGGAAGGGGGCCGGGGCGCTGACGTACATGGCCAGGGGGCGTGGCCGTGTATGTCAGCATTACAGATGCACAGACCCTGGGCTACTATATATATGATTCCTTAGAATCCTGAACTCTGTGATTTCACGATCACTTTCACCGAAGCTCGCGAGGGGAAGGGGGCCGGGGCGCTGACGTACATGGCCAGGGGGCGTGGCCGTGTATGTCAGCATTACAGATGCACAGACCCTGGGCTACTATATATATGATTCCTTAGAATCCTGAACTCTGTGATTTCACGATCACTTTCACCGAAGCTCTTTTCCACTTTCAAATTCTCAACCAGGTCCTCTCTATTTGTTAAAATCCAATCTAGAACAGCTTCTCCCCTAGTAGCTTTTTCAACCTTCTGAAATAAAAAATTGTCTTAATACCTGTGCCAACCACATGCCTAATTACTAGCTGAGGCCTGCAGCGTATGCAGATAGGTTCGTGCTCTGATTAGCTTATCCTGCAATTGGCACCAAGTGTCACACCAAACTTGGCATCTGCCTTTTTGGAGCACATAGTGCTTTGGGTCCAGGTGCCCGGGCACCCAGAACCATCCTTGCTTGGCTTTGGCAGTGTTTACAGCAGAGTGGGCAGAGGGTACCTCCCCCATCCCTTTAACACTGCGTGTGCAGAGCTGTGCCCCAGTTTTTTCTTCATAGCCCCTCCTGGCAGATAACCTCACTTGTTCTGTGCTGCACCCTTCCCCCGAGGTAGGAGGTTGTATATACCTGCAGCACGCCAGGACCCTGATCCTTAATTGAGATTGTTAAATGCTTCTGCAACACAAACAATAATAAATAACAACATTCCCCACGCTGCCAGCCAAGCTATCCAACCTGCTCCCAGCAGACGCAGAGCAGTGGGGCATGTGTTCCACAGCTGTGGTCTCTCGGGAATCGTGTGGAGTCTGGTTGTTCTTGGTGTGCTTAAAACCAGATTTTAGCTTCTTTCCCCAGCAGACAGATCTGTTACTGACCTTGGAGGGCACTGGGTTAGGAGACAGGTGACTTGCATGCTAGTCCTAATGTTGCTGCTGATCTGGTGTAAGTCCCTGCTTTGTTTAATGCCTCAGTTTCCCCTCCCACCCTTTGTCTTGTCTTGTTAGCTTGTAATCCGGGGTGGGCAATAATTTTTGATGGGGAAGGGCCACTCCAAGAATTTAGTAAGTGGTCAAGCCGCACTTTTCCATTATAATAATGAAGGAGGTGCGGGGGTCTGGGATAAGGATGTTAAGTATTGGGTAATTGACTAATCGAATAGTCGAAGCATTTTTGCATCGAGTATTAGGGCGCCTCCGCCTTTAAAGGCAAAAGCGCTAGAGCCCGGGGTCAGCTGGAGACTCTCTCTCATTGACCCTCGGCTCTGTGCGGTGCTGCTGGTTTGAAATGCCACAAGGATCCTGATGCTCCACATGGCATTTCAAAGCAGCAGCGCTGCACGGAGCCTGGGTCCCGGCTGCCGCTTTGAAGTACCCTCCTCTTCTCTGATACAGGCAGCAAGGGGAGGGGGGAAGTGACTTGTTAACTATTCTGTCAACTATCCAATAAGCATTTGTGACCTGAGGTAGGAGTGCAGGGGCTCAGGTTGTGACCTGGCTCCGGGGATTGGGGTGCAGGAGAGGATTCTGGCCTGGGGGAGGGATGTACGAGGGGCGAGTGCAGGGTCTGGGAGGGATTTGTAAGCTGGGGCAAGAGTGCAGGAGGCGGTGCAAGGATTTGGGCTGTGACCAGGAATAGCAGATTGCGGTGCAAGGTCTGTGAGGGGGTTGTGACCTGAGGAGGGATGTCGTAGGGGATGCAGTGTCTGGGAAGATGCAGGGGGGTTGAGCAGGCGTACAGAAGGGTTGGGTTACATGGAGTAGGGGGAGGGAGGGGCTGGGGTGCCAGAGGTAGGCTCTGGCTGGGAGACCTTACTTGGGTGGCTCCCAGCCAGCAGCCCAGCAGGCTCCTTAATCAGGGTCCTGCACTCCCATGCCCCTGTACTGCTCACAGCAGCTCCAGGGGCCATGTTCACTATTGCAAACACTTGTGAGCCTGGGTATGGGGGGAGGGGCACTTCACATGCTGCCTGTCCTGCAAACAGGCAGCTGCTGTTGGCCAGAAACCGGCCAGTGGGAGCTATTGGGGCGGGAGGAGTGTGAGACGCCTCTGCCCCCTCCCCTGGGCTCTCAGCATTCAGAGATGCATATGGCCCTGCAGAAGCCGGCTGCACTGAGTGCTGAGCGGGGGCAGGGCAGCCAAAGAGCCAGCTGAGGCTCTTGCGGGCCAGATGCGGCCCGCAGATCATATTTTGCCCAGCCCTGTTGTAATGAGTTTGGTCTCCCCCTGTGTGTATTTGTACAGCACCTTGTGCGGATTTCTGTCAGGCGTGGCTGCGATGGTAAACAATCCCCTCTCTTCCCATCTAGCACAGAGGAGCCGAGAGACTGGGACTGCCCAGCCAAGGAAGAGTTGTGTGAGCATGGTGGAGAGAAGCAGCTTAGGATAGCCAAGGGGACCGCTGACGAGCACAGCTCTTTATGCTGCGTGGAGACCCATGTGTTTCCTTGGCCGGAAGGAAAGGTACAGATCTTAGCTAACATGGACTGGCTAAATCCAGCCACCTTTCGACTCAGGGTAATGCCTTTAGCCTGATTTCAGCCGGATGAGTTACAGCTTTGGCAGGCATCCACTCTGTCGGGCCCCCTAGCTGCCACAGAGCTATAAATAACGGTGCTGTCTGACTCGGGCGCAAGTGTCTCCATGCTCTTTCCACGCTCCGGCCAGCTCTTGCCCTGGTGTCAGCTCCGCCAGCACAGAACTAGCCTTGTTTGTACAGGCAGCATCCCCCAGCACACCCAATAGCAGAGAGCACCGATTTGCTCTCCTCCCCCCGCTGGCCAGAACAAGGCAAAGACCTATAGGATTTCATCCCACAGTGGCAATCCGGGCTCGGTTACAAAGTGGCGCCAGCAGTAGGGAAATTGAGAATGTTGAATGCACCTGCTGAAAATGATCACCCAGCAAGGAGGTATTAGCAACTAATCCCCCGCCCCCTCTGTGGGCACCGGGCATGTGAATAACAGGTTTCTGAGATAGTTAGTGTTCCTGGAGCTGGTCATTTTCACGCCTCTGAAATAAATATTAAACACACATCTGGGCAAGGGGTGTGTGCGGGGGACACCTGTAGCATTACAGTAGCACTCAGCTGCAATCCGGGCCTCATTGCACTAGGCGTGCTGTGCATGCACACAGCAAAAGACAGCACTTGCCCTGATGAACTTAGAATCAAAATAGCCCAGGAAGAGAAAGGAAGGGATTATCCCCATTTTACAGGAGGGGAAACTAAGGCCCAAAGAGACTAAGGCCAAGATTCAAGAAGAGCCAATTAAGAAGGATGTTGATAAAGCGGAGAGGGCTCAGAGAATGATACAGGACTGGAAAACCTGTCTTGTAGCGAGAGTGTCCAAGGGCTTAATCTGTTTATTTTAACAAAGTAAAGGTTCAGGCGTGCCTCGATCCCAGTCCATAGATACCCACATGGGGAACAGAAATTAGCTAATAGAGGGGCTCTCTAATCTGGCAGGCAGCAGTCTAACACGGTCCAAAGGTGAAAACTGAAATAAGACAAATTCAGGCACAAACTTCTAACAGTAAGGGGCATTAACCACAGGAACAACTGCCCAAGGGCTGTGGGTGATTCTCCATCCCTGGCAATTACATGGGCTGTTTTTCTAAAACACCTGCTCAAGTCCCATCCAAGCTCCCTCTAATCTTTTCCATCCATGTGCGGAATACATTTTCATGTGCACCGAGGCATGTGCAGATGTGCACCACAAGTAGCAACAAAACCGAGCTGTGGGCACATTGCTAACCAGCAGGGAAGCACTGGAATCTCCCCTGAGTAGCTGCAGGGCACACTGGTCCCGTCCCCCTGCCTTCCTCCACGCAGTGAGTTCAGGGCAATCCCATGGCTGGGTTTTACAGGTCAGATGGCATGACCCTTGGGCTGCCTTCTGGCTTTAACATCTACAAGATGGTCGTAAGTGGTTAGCGCTTTTGAGACGTCATAAAGGCACAAGTGCAGCTATTTTGCACAAGGTGGGCAGTGCCCTGGTACAGTGCTCATCTGGCTGTCATCTTGTCAAACAAGCTGAAGACATGGGCCTAGCTCCTCAAAGGTTATTTAGCCACAGAACTATGGGAGTTAGGCACCTAAGTATCTTTGGGAATCTAGCTCATAGCATTAAGGATTCTAGCAGCAGCAGGAGTTGTCTGCAGTAGGGCTTCCCCTGTTCTGGAGGAGCTGCAGCTGCACTAGCATCAGCAGAGAAGACTAGAAAGATCTGAGCTCCCCTTTGCCTTGCCCCTTGTGCAGTCATTTACACTAGTGCGCAGTGCTTCCCATGACTGCAGGTGAATTGTACCTCACGGAAGCACAGGCTGTTGTGAGATCTGGCCAGTCTCTACGATTTTACCCTTTAAATGCCGTTATAACTCTTCCCCTGTCCTCCCCCACTTACAGAAATGAACATCTCTCTCTTCTCAAGGGGCTAATCTCCCCCATTGTGCTTACTAATTACCCCCTTCCTGCTAAGAGCTTCTTATCAGCACAAAGTGGGGAGGGACGGTAAGAGGTTCCTTTGAAAGAAAATTGTTTTCTGCTAGGGAAGAGGGAATAAAAACCCATGTGGCCCTTCACATGTATATGTCTGCCTCCCAATTACTCGCTGGACAGAGTATTTCCCGTAAGGAACTGTTTATCTGAACAGCCCCCACCTTCAGGCAGGCCACTGCTACAGTCTTGCCATGGCAATGGGGCATGGATTGCAACAAAAAACTCTTACTTCCCTGCTAGAGCACAGGGTTATCGCCCGCCCAGGCACTGGGACTCACTTGCCAATGAGGTGCTTTGAAAATGCATTTAATTAAGGGCCCGTTTTGTCTCCAGCTGGACTGATGCCTGGGTTCATTATTGATTTTAGACTGTATCTACATTGCAGATTCTATGGCCAGCACAGGTGCGGCCTGCACCCACAGAAGGTGGAGTTCTGCTGGGGCAGAAACACCATCTCTCCCACTGACGTTAGCTAGGTTAGCTGGCTGCCAGCAGTGGTGTCTTTGTTGGCAGTGTAAGCAGAGGTGTGTTTCTCTCACACCCCTGACCAACACAGCTGTGCCAGTGTAAGTATAGGCCAGGATGCACAGCATGTCTTTAAGTGCAAGCCATTTTTGTGCTTGGGTCGCTGCCCATAACAACCCTGCCAGACCTCCCCAGGAGACAGGGCTTATGCTCGGCAGCAGAACAAGCCTTCTAGACGGGCAAGTGGTGCCGCACAGATCCCTCTGCTTTGGGCCTGGCTCGCTAGAGCCCTCAGCCAATTGAAATGCCACCTGCCCCTACCAGAGTCCAGCTGCAATGCCTGCTGTAGGAGAACTGCCAAGCTGGATCAGACCAGTCACCAAGGGAGCCAGCAGCCCTACAGTTACGGCATATCCCACCCTACGCTGGGGGGAAGCAGGGTCCCTGCACCTTTACATCCCTGCTAAACTAGAAAAGATTAATGTCCTGTGGCTTGCGCCCTAGTTTAGAGGTTTTGCAAGGGGGGTTTGTAGTCCTGCTCTGTATGGGGGAGAACAGCCTTTCCTCTCCCTCCAAAGGTGTCATGAGGAGACATCTGTTTACAAGGTGCTCAGATAAAATGCCTGGATAACTTTTTTTAAATCATCTTTTTACCCAAGACATTATTGCCTGTCTAAATGTTCAGCCCCTTTGGAAAACCTGCCCGGCTTCCACTAGGTCACGGAGCAAAGAGCTCCCCAGGCAAATGATGCATTAGGTGAAAGAATCCGTATTATATTTGCCCCCTGTTCCAAAAGGAGCAGCTGGCAGCTCTCGGAGCCACACAGAAGAGAGACCACAGCTCCCTGTTGGGATGATCTGACCAGCACCCTCTGCAAACCCTCCTCTGCTGCCACTGCTACAGTGACGAGGAGTCCTGTGGCACCTTATAGACTAACTGAAGTGTAGGAGCATAAGCTTTCGTGGGCAAAGACCCACTTCGTCAGATCTTTGCCCACGAAAGCTTATGCTCCTACACTTCAGTTAGTCTCTAAGGTGCCACAGGACTCCTCGTCGTTTTTGCAGATTCAGACTAACACGGCTACCCCTCTGATACTGCTACAGTGTATCAGCACAGGCCTCAGCAGCTGAGCTCTGCTGGGTGGGGAGGGAACAATAGCTTCAGGGACATCCTCATTGTGTCTGTCTCCCTCAGGCAGCAAGGCCTCTCTGCCTGGACCCCCAGCCCGCAGACTCGCCACTGTCCAGTGCAACAGAGAGGTGAGTGCCAGTCAGCCAAAGCTGCTGCAGGAAGCAGCAAGGCTGGCATGTTAACCCTGGCGGAGAGGTGTTAGGGGTTGGGTAGAACAGCCCCACAGCCCACACACGGAGCTCTGCTGGCCTCCCGCTAGTTAAGATCATTCCTACCAGCTGAGGATCTGGCTTGGCGCCACAGAAGGGACAGCCAGCGGTCATCTACACCCCTCCCCCCTACACACACACACTGAGGCAGGACCAAGCCTCATTTTAGACCACCCTGACAAGAGTTTGTCCAATCTGGTCTTAAAGACCTCCCATGATGGGTTTCCACAGCCTCCCTTGCTCACCCATTCCCTTGCTGAGCCAGCCTTAAACCTACAAAGCTTTTCCTAACAGCCCACCCAACTGACTCCCTGCAGATAAAACCACTTCCCACTTGTCTTACCCTCCGTGAACAGAGAACCAATTGCCATCCTCCTTAGCACAACCTCATGCATATTTGAAGACTATTCATCCCTCCTCCATATCCAGTTCTTGTAGCCCAGGGGTGCCCAACCATGTGGCTAGAGGCTAACATGCTGGACACCACACTTTTCCCCAGAGGTCATGTTTTCTAGCCTCTGATCCTTTTTGGTGCTCACCTGGACTCCAGCAAAGGCATGATTTGTCGCTTAGAAGTGGTGGGGAGTTTACCATGCCCCAGCAGCTAGAGCACAGCATGCAGCCCATGTCTAGAATGATCTTCGTTGTCTAGGCAGGCTGGGTCTCCGCAACCTCTTCCCACTACTCCTAACAGCTGTGACTGGCTCCACATGGGAGCAGGCGAGTGGCGATATATCTGCCTGGATCATCTGTGCTGCAGGTAGAGAAGACCCGTGGCATGCCCGTGACAGGCCTGCTGGGTGCACAGGACTTGGGGCCTACAACTGCAGCATCTGGGCTTGGGCTGGAGTCCATGTCTCATAACTCAGGCTCCAGCTGGGCCCAAACCTGTTACAGCCCAAGTCAGTTAACCCAAGCTGTAGCCCCAGTGCCACAGACATACTGTGAGGTGGAGTGCGTAGCCTCAAGCTGTCCCTCCCCACAGTTAAAGGCCCTGTGTCGTGTTGTTCATCACAGTCATGCAGCTTTACTTCTCTTTCAGGAGCCCCAGGGGCCTGCAGGAACAGGCACTCGTCCCCGTGCAGAATCAGCTCTCCCCTGTCAAACAGAAGCAGCTGCCTCACTGCTGGTTTGAAACCACAGTGCCACAGTAGGTAGCCCTCTGCCAAGTTCCCAGTCCACCACCACCACCCCGTGTCTGCATTACACCACCCTTCCACATCCCCACTGGCGTACCCAGCAGAGGAGCTGCCTGGCCAGCAGCAGGGGTATCCCAGAGGATGCAGGGGGAGTGTACAGTGGTTTTCCTGCTGTATCAAACTCAGAAAAGGGATGTATAGACAGGAGAAACCCCAGGAGGAATTAGGAGGTTATGCTCCATCTGGAATCCTGTGCCCAGTTCTGGTGTCTGCAGCCCAAGGCTGTTGCTAAATTGGAGAGGGGTCAGAGAAAAGCCCCGCAAATGGCTGGAGGACTGGAAAGGGCTGAGTTTATGTAGTTCACAAAGATGGTTCAGGGGTGGCTTGATCATGCTCTGCCATCTTCTACCTGGGGGAACAAATATTTGCTCAGGGGCTCCTGAGGCTAGCAGACCAGGTCTGACAGTCCGTGGCTAGAAGCTGAGGCTAGACAAACCCACACAGAAACTGGCACAAATATTTAACAGTGAGGAGAATTAACCAGCCGCTCAACATCCCAGGGCTGGGGTCAGTTCTTCATCACTGCCAGTATTTAAATCAAGCCTGGCTGTTTCTCTCTGAGACCTGATCTACTGCAGCCACCAGTGCATAGTCACCCTGCGGGCAGCTCACAAGTCAAAACAGCTCAGAGGGGGCCTGCTGGCCTCGCAGTGTAGGAGCCCAGGTGCAAAGGGACCCGGAGTGACTCTCAATCCGTTTAGATAGGTGCAATCTTTTACAGTAGCTTCAGTTGTTCAGGAAGCAGCTCGAGCTGAAGTGAAATGAGCCGGGTCTAAAGTGAAATGAAATCCACCTGGGGTCAACAGAAAGCTCCAAGTGTGTGCAGAGGAGTGTTTTCCACCCCTGGTGAATTCCTTCTGGGAAAGGTGTAAATCAGACTTGAGGGCGGGAGCGAGAGACTTTGACCCCTGTTTTATCTTGGATGGTGTGAGCTTTCTTCCAAAGAGATTAATCCCCCCCTCTCCACCTTCTGAATGGGAGGGAGCAAAGCCACAGCCTCTCTCCTATGTAAAACCAGCATGTTTCTTTGTGCAGGTTTCCCCCTCCGCAGCAGTCACGGCCCCACGTCCTCCCCAGCCGCCTGCTGCTGGGCCTGCTCCTCACACTCCTCCTGCTGCCAGCACTGTGCTACCTGGGACTGTCCTGCAGACAGCAGCCTGGCTGGACCATGCCCTCAGGGCTGGCATGGCCCCACCTCCAGCTACGGTACCTCAGGCCCCCACCTCAGTGAGCCCTTCCCATCCAGCAGAGGGGAAGGGGGGAGAGGAGGCAGTGCTAAGCTACTACTGATCCCTCTCCCCCCCACAGCAGCCCAACTTGAAGGCAAATAAAGGCAGCTCAGGCCAATGAAACGGAGCAGGAGCGCAGCTTTCAGTGCAGGCTCAGCCGAAGTGAAGCCCTTTTCCCACACCTAGCCCTTGTTTTCCCTCCCATGGCACAGGAAGTAGGTGTGAACAACCCCGTGTCTCCTCCCCCACTCAGAGCAGAGCTGGCCTAAAGGCCTTGCTGCCAGCCCAGAACTGGGTGTGGCCAGAGCAGTCTGCACAGGGACTATTACCTGACCCCATGCAGGGCAGGGCAGGCTTGGCTGAGCACACTGTGGGCTCCCACAGGCCCCCTATAGGGCAGATTCGGGGCATGCCTGGGTGGCACTGAGCTGCATGGGGCAAAGCAGTGTGCACCATACAGTGGCTATTCTTTACTCGTTAGGGAACTGGAGTAAGATGGAGCAGGCCTGGATCTATTGACCATAGGAACCAGGCAGGCCCCCAATGCGGGAATCACACAGGTGGCTTTAAACTCCACACCCAACCTAAGCAACCCAACCCTGAGCCAGACCCTACCCCTACAGCCACAGTCACGCCACTGGCACCTCCTCTGCTAGAGCTCCAAAACTGCCCCGTGCCAGAGCCCTCGGATGGGCCCCAGAGCAGTAGTCTGGGTTACCCCCTCACCCCAGAGCCCTGGCACTGAGCTCCAGCCCCAGCACACACTGGTCCCACAGGCCTGCCACAGTCACAGCACACACCCTGTGAGCAAGGTGAGACTCACAAGTTTAAGATTCAGCCGCCCAGGGACTTTGAGCAACAGAACTGTGAACCTAAGCTGTGCTGGACTCAAGTCTGTCTACCCAGGATCCCGAATCCAGGAACTGAACCAGCAGGTCTCCCTCCCCTCCTGCTTTCCTCCCTCTGAAATCAAGCCAGGCTGTGGCAGCAGCTCACCATTAACACCAATTACGATTATTCAGACTGAGCCATAGTGATTGGGAAATGCAGACTACGTGGGCACCCCTGTGCCTGGGTTAATTTCTTCACTGGTTTATTTGCAGCTCCCACTTGTTTGCCCAGTGCACTGGGGAAGAAATGCCTTTCTAGATCTTAACACAGAGGGGGCCCAGAAGCAGAGCATCTGCACCATTTCCACATGGAATCTTTGTCCCTCATAAAACATGAATTTCCAAGGAACAGTCAAAACACTGGGGGAGAAACAATCTGTCACCCTCCTCAAAACACAGCTACTGCCCTTCTGCACATCCCTGCTCCAATCAACACCCCACCATGTTTCCTGGCTTTCTACCCACCAGGTCTGCCAGTGGTGTGGGGCCATCTCCAGAACCTGGCAACTTCTTGATTGCTGGACTTAAGCCTCCAGCCAATGCAAAACTGCATTTGGCCTGGATACTCTTATTCCTTTGGTGAGCAAATTATCCTCTCTCTCCATTGGGGCAACAGGTTGTGTGCTAAGGTGGCACAGCTGTTCTTGGCCCAGAAAAGACCTGCTCTCCAACTGGAGAGCAAACTAGAGGGATGCAGAGATCTGCTAATGGGGCCAGAGATTAAATCCCACCAGGAATACACTGTGTCATCACAGCCTGGTTTCTGATCAGACAGGAAGGAGTTACAACCTCACAGCTCATCTGATTTTGCTGCCCTCATTTCTGTCCTCAGTTGTTCCAGGGGATGCTTCCTTCTTCCATCAAAAACAGCCAGCAAAATGAAGGGTGTCTCTCTCTCTGGGTCATCATCATCAGGGGTTAGGGGAGTTTGTTTTTTAACTTGTTTTTAGTTGGAACTTCAAGGATAAACTGAATCATAAAACCAAATGAAAGTCACATCCTAGTCTCTGATGCCTTCTCCTCCCGGCACCTCCAAAGCCACCAGCCATCAGGATGTGGCTGGATGCTGTTCTGCTGGAGTTTACAAACCAAAAGGGCACGGGAGTGGCAAGGATCCTTGCCAATCCAGCATCAGTCACTCTCAGAGGATCACACACTTTTTCTTGGAGCATTTCTTCTTGCGTCCATTGCTGATCTTCTCCTTATGCTTCCGGATCTCCCGTACCAGTGTGTAGAAAGCATCCTCCACTCCCTGGAGTGACAAGAACAGAAAGGGCAAGAAGAGAAACATGCACAGCTGAACAGTTTAGACAAATGACTGCCCAAAACCAGGCCTGGCAAAAATTAAGGTTCTCTAGCACAGAAAACAAAGTTCCAGAACACGGTAGTGCACAGACGCTGGCATTTACCCCAAATGCTAGGTCTCCTCCTAAGTCTAATGCTCAGGGTGTTTCAGTTCCCTCCCAAAATGCATTAGAACATGAACAGCCAAAAGTCTCAGGTCACTTTTGGAATTGAGCTATATTTGTAGCAGCGAGTTCCGCTGGCTTATAATGGCTGGCAGAGAACAGAGACTGATCGGTTTTGAATCTGTCATCTTTTCAAAAAGGTCATCAAGCAGGCATCTTGGGAGATGGAGACCACCCAGGGGACCCCAAGGAGGAGCCTTTCCCAATGGAAAAAGTCATTTTCTGGCCAACTCTGGGGACAGGTGGGAGTCACTTTGCCTCCCCTCCCCTCTCCCAGCAGTGTCCCCTACACACCTGCCTGGTTTTGGCTGAGGTCTCAATGAAAGGGATCCCGTAGTTCTTCGCCAGCTCCTGAGCTTGTTTGGTGTCCACTGTCCGAGAGGGCAGGTCGCACTTGTTACCGACCAAGACCATGGGGACGTCGTCTGAATCTTTCACCCTGCTGATCTGCTCCCTGGGGTGGAAGGACACAGCTGGGATCTGGAGAGAAGACTGATCCCACCCCATCCCACAGCTTTGGAAGGGACTAAGAGACACCATGCACACTCAGCCAAAGAGATTTGGGTCAGTTGGGCTGTGGGATCCCAAGAGGCCACGGCCTAAAGGCTTCAGTACAGAGCTAGACCTTGTGCTCACTGGTGTCAGTGGGTTCTGAATCAGTAAACACACACACAGCCACAAAACGGGGGTACAGTGTGCTCTGTGGCCAGGTGTATGAAGGTCTGCTGGTACACCCCACTTCCGACACGCAGCCCTGGGCTCCACACAGCCCTGCCGGTGCCCCCCACTTCCCACCCGCAGCCCCTGCTCACTCAGCCCTGGCCCCCCAGCCCTTCCAGTGCCCCTCACTCCCGACCTGCAACCCCTGCTAGCCCAGCCCTATTCATGTGCCATCTGGGCTAGGGAAGGCCCCCGCTGACCTGTAGTGGTGCACGTCCTCGAAGGACTTGGCGTTGTTGATGGCGAAGACGCAGAGGAAGCCCTCACCCGTGCGCATGTACTGGTCACGCATAGCGCTGTACTCCTCCTGCCCGGCTGTATCCAGGATGTCCAGCAGGCACGTCTCCCCGTCAATCACCACCTGCTTCCGGTACGAGTCCTGCAAGGGGACGAGAAAGGCTGAGAGTGCCTTGCCCAGTAGCCCCTCTGGGGCAGGGGGGGCCCCTGGAGTAGAGGAAGCAGAGACACCGGGCACATGCACAGGGCTCCTTGGGGATAAGTCTCACCTCAATGGTGGGATCGTACTCATCCACAAAGTGGTTCTGGATGAGCTGGATGGTCAGGGCGCTCTTGCCAACGCCACCAGCCCCCACCACCACCAGCTTGTACTATCAAACGGCCCCCCCCGGGATCCCAGCTCCCCCCATCCCTTAAGGCTGGCCCTGGAACCAAGCTAAGTGTTAGAGCCAGGATGCCTGGGTTCCCTCCTTTGCCACCACTGGTGTAACACCCCCACCCCCCCGCATCCCGCCGGCCCCAGAGCTACACCTGCACTCGGGGGGGGCTCTGCACCCCCCCAACTGTGCTTTACCCTCACAACAGTTCCCTCAACCTAGGCCCCTCTCCCCCGCTACCAAGGGCCTCACCCCCCCAAACAAAACCCCTCACCACAGCAGCAGCAGTTCCCCCCAGCCCTCCAACAACTGTCCTGCAGCCCCACTGCACCCCCACTTCAGTATGGCATCTCGCCCCCCGACCCAGAGCCCACTCCCCAAGGTGGCCACCTCCTTTCTGCCCAGCCACCTGCAACACAGTGTGAGGCAGATCCCCCTCCCCACTTCTACACCTCACACCCCCATGCTACCTGCTCTTACTCCCCATAGCCCCGTGCTGCTCCTCCCCACCTCCCTGCTCTTACTCCCCATAGCCTCGTGCTGCTCCTCCCCCACACCTCCCTGCTCTTACTCCCCATAGCCCCCTGCTACGCCCCCCACACCTCCCTGCTCTTACTCCCCATAG